CAAAGGCGCCTGCGAAGTTCCTCTACCGTGCCATGGGTGGGTAGGTCGAGTCGCTCCACCTCAGCGATCAACTGTAGTTTAGACAACCGGTAGATCCATCCAACGCGAGGATCTTCCGTTGGGGCGAGCGGAGCGGAGTAGCCGGTCGAGGTCATCGGTCGTGTGTACACCGTTGACGTAGTAGTAACTGTCGATGCGCACGAGCAGGTAGGGATAACTGGAGTCGTAGTCACCACGGCCCCAGCCATGGTTAGAACTCCTAGCGTCGTTGTCGAAATTTCAGGGAGTGAGTTAGGCATAGCTGCAAAGTATTAGTACACAACAAAACAAACAAATGGCAACAACAATGTAAAAGGTTGAAATTGCTTAACAATTATGAAAAATCCACAATAAACCTATTTAAATTCAAACCCAACGTTACACAGCACTAAGTCCAAACAAGACAACTTAAAAAAAAAATTTTTTTTTTTTTTTTTTTTCAGCCTAAGTCCCAACTAGGTACTCAAAACCCAGAAAATTTGTTAAAATAGGACCAAGTCCAAACTGCTCCAAAATCCGATAATAAAAAGGCTAAAATGCAATAGGCTACTGTAAAGTAAACGTTTTACCTAAAATAAATAGGCTATCACACAAATAGGCTAAAATATTTAACGCTAAACACCAATAGGCTTAGGCTAGCAATAGGCTACAACGACGAAACTAGAAAATATGTAGGCCTAAGCTACCTACTAAACTAGAAATGCTAGGCTAGAACGGTAACGTAGAATAAAAAATAACAGTAGGCCTAGGCAAACACTTGATAGGCTAGAGCGGTTAACGTAGGCTAAAATCTTACAACTCGACGTCAGCTGCTACCGCGATCTTAGCTTGAGCTCACCAAGTACTATCAGACTATCCAATCACTGGTCCAACTGCTTCGGGCGCCATTTATGTGACGTAATTTTCCTGGCGGACGACAAGTGGGAAATTACGCCACCGGTAATAAAACGAAGATCCCAGGATTCGCCCTAGTCTGGTCGCGGGGAGTTTCCCAGGAGTCGATAGTGATTCGGATAGCCTAAATTTGATAGCCCTGGTTGTCAGAGCTCGAGACGAACGTTACGGGTTACTAAACACCCAACTAGAAATCACCACTCTAGCCTAGGGCTTGTGGGGAAAATAATAATTTTGACTTGACTCTGTGGGCAAATATCTAAATGACACACTACTAGCTAACTTAACAAATCAACAAGTAAGCTAAGTAGGCACTCCGCTTACCTACGGAGTTACGTCGTCACCCTGAAACAAACAAGGTTAGTACAAGATAGGCCTAACCTAGCCTAACTCCCACAGAGTCTGAATTTACTAAAATGATAAGAAAACAAGTTAGCCTAAGTGGTCCAGGTGAGGAACGAACAAAAAAAAACGAAACTAAAAAGGTGAAACTGCTCCTTGAGCCAAAAACGAAAAACTAAAACTTTAACTTCCTCACGTGTTCAACTTAGACCAACTTCGACAGAACTTGTCCAGCAGAAACCTGTCTGCTGGAACAGACTTTGGTACGTCTGGGGAACTTTAAAAAAGGGGTTTTCAGAATTAAAAAAAGAAAGTCCCAAGACGGATTATGAAACGTAATTGAAAATATATTTCACCAACTGCAGTACTTTACTCAAATTGTTGGTTAAGGCGTATGACTAGGTCTGCGAATCAGGCCTAGCCTTCAAGTTCAACCAAGTTAAGTACACGAAAACTGGTCAAATAATATACAATAATCTGTAAGTTAGTTACAAAACTTACCCGATGACGAAATTATATGAAAATATTCACTACGAAACAATACGTACGAACTTAAGCTTTCAGAGCTTGCGATACGAACTTAAACTTGCACGAATTTTCGAGAGCGAACCAACAACGAAACAAACCTACGAAAAGCCGGGATTACGAATAGTGATGTGACGAGTTGAGTTGGCGAGTCGAGTTGACTCGAGTCAAGACCCGAGTCGAGTCAACTCGAGTCAACTCAATTCCAACTCGAGTTCTTTTACGAACTCGTACGGAGATTGCCGAAGCTACACGAACTCGTAACGTTACGAGTCCGACTCGCAAAAGCCGAGTCAAGAAACCGAACTCATACGGAGAAAGCCGAACCTTAACGAACTCGGGACGTAACGAGTTGACTCGAGTTTACTCGCACTCGCTTTCGGCCAATAGCGTCACAGCTTTACGAGTCAACTCGCATAGATTCAACGCTATTGGCCGGTACCGAGTCGGCCGACTCGAAAAAACTAACGAACTCGTACGGAGAATGCCGAACTCACACGAACTCGGAACGTCTCGAGTCGAGTCGAGTCGACTCGTAAAGCTGACACGCTATTGGCCGGTACCGAGTCGGCCGACTCGCAAAACTAACGAACTCGTACGGAGAATGCCGAACTCACACGAACTCGGAACGTCTCGAGTTGAGTCTGACTCGACTCGTAACTCGAGTTCACGGCAGTTGGCGAGTCGAGTCACTCGAGTCAGGAAAGTACCCGACTCGTCACATCACTAATTACGAATGACGAAAACTTCACAAAACTTCTTCTTACTTCACCTTCGTCTCAGAATCGAGACGAAAGTTAAAACGATTCCTGATTGGTCAACGAGTTACCGAAACCAAAAAAAAACTGGCAGCGAAGGCAGGCGCATGGTAGCTTTAACAGGCTTACAGCCGCGTACCGCTCAAAGGTGACCTCGCTGCTCATCTTCTCTCCCGTAGCCCGGCCTCAGATGCAGTCGAACAGCCAAACAACCAAACTGACACCAACGTCGTCTGCGGTCTTGGAATTGGAGGTTAGGTACGACGTCAGTTTAGTGTCGCGACTAGGCTTACTCAACAGCTTATGTTTAGCTGTTTAATGTTCGTGGTCTAGATCGTTATATTTTACCCCCTACACATTTGACCCGTTACAACATTAGGCCTAATGAAAAACTAATTGTCTTTTCTAGATACATTGAAATGTCAGACATCATCGTTTCCTGCAATCGGTGTACTTCTACATTATAAAAAGAAATACAGTAACGTCCCAAGCCTTTTGGAACAATATGAAAGTTATTCCTCAGCAACCAGCACTAAAAAATCTCTCAAAAGTGGAAAATTGGTCGTTAACACGTATACAGTAGTACCTTTGGAAAATATTATATGAAAGATTGGTTCAGCTAAAAGTGGTGTAGGTCATGTAGGGGGTTTTGTTTGCTCAAGATATAGCCTAGTCGAAATTGCAAATCATCTTCCTCTAGGACTTTCCGAAGCAGGCATAATAGTATTGATATGTTATAGTAACTGGGTAGAGAAAATTAATAAATATTCCACATCTGCAAATGAAATATGTATATGAAAGATTGGTTCAGCTAAAAGTGGTGCAAGCCATGTAGGTGGTTTTGTTTGATCAAGATATAGCCTAGTCGAAATTGCAAATCATCTTCCTCTAGGTCTTTCCAAAGCAGGCATAATAGCGGTGGGACACACGGGAGGGACTAAGGCTAACATATCTTGTAGTGTCAGCGTTCGCCGCTAGAACCGCTAAGTTGAAAAAATTAAATTTTTTTACTTTTAGTTATAAAATTAACTTTTTAATTATAAAATATTGTTTTAAAATTATAAAATAAATTTTTAATTTTTAAAATAAAACTATCATAACATAACCTAACCAACCTGACTTGCTGATAATATAAAAACTGTATAATATAAAAATTAATTAATGATTAATTATAATTTTTAATTAATTATTAAATTAATTTTAAAATTTAGTATTATATAATTAAACTGTCATAACCTAACCTAACCAACCAAACTTGCTGATATGAAAAATTTGTTGACAAAAAGTTAGTGCTGCCAGCGGGATTCGAACCCGGGACCTCCTGCACACCAATCCGAAACGCTATCAACTATGCCACGAACGCTGCTGAAATCACATCGTTTCGTTACGGTAATCGTGTCGCCTCAAGAGAAGACATTAGCTACTAGAGATATGACGTCACTACACCTTTAGCCTTAGTCCCTTCCGTGTGCCCATTCCGGCATAATAGTATTGATATGATATAGTAACTGGGTAGAGAATATCAATAAACATTCCACATCTGCAAATGCATGTTTGGTAAATAAAATATTTAACACTTTTAAGACAATTGACGATTATGCACTGTCACACTTCTTAGGTCGTGTAAGGAATAATTTAATTTATATTTAGACCTGTTTTACGGATGCTTTGGTTTTCACAATACACCTTTATTTGTCAATATCATACAGCTATTCACTGAAACATATATGTTTTTGTAAGTCAGAATATTCAATACTAAAAACAGAATTACTGTATACACAAATCAGGTCAAACGTTAAAATACATTTTTATAGTAACCAAAACAAAATGCATTTTTCTCAATGTAGTTCATTTAGGCTCCATGGCAAGAAATAGTTTATTGATCAATATGAAGCAACTGTTTCATGAAGAATTGTCTGTAGCTTCATTTAAATGGTTTCAACTAACAGCTGTAGGAATGTTATTATTATTTATTGCCTTATCTGCACAAATGTAAACAATCTGCACAAATGTAAACAAAATAAATGTTGAATATTTAAGGTTTTCAGAATTTTTCACCGAAACAAATTTTTTACTTAAACATAATATATAAGGTACCAAATAGAAACTCTCCTGGTTATTTTGGTGGTGGAACCACACTGATCGGTAAAAGAATCACAGAGAAATTGGTGAACATACATAGAAAAAAAAAAACATCGCCACAAACAAATTGAGAACCTCCTCCTTTTGTTGGTAGTGGGGAAGTCGGTTAAAAATAAGCTTAAATTAATATATTTTAAATAATTTTTTAATGTTTCTAATTTACTTTCTTTCACTTATTAGCTTTGAAATATTATTTTTAGCTCAGTCAAGTCCAACTGATACTTTTGGTTCTTAAATAACTTAAGAAGTTCAAACATGATAGTTCCTACTTTTTACTATTGTAATTATTTTTCTTGTCAGGATTTGGGAATGGATATCTTCAAACCATCTGATTTATCCTCGTCAAAGCATACAGTCTCAGTAACAGAATCGTTCAAAAGTGATAAGAAGATTTCAATCCATGTTGAAAAATCTGCAACTCCATTTGACCTTGATTTACCGACTCTGAGTATAAAGCAGACCGAGTTGCCGTCTTCTAACTATAGTGAAAAGTTTGATGTATCAAAGAAAGAAGAGAAAGAAACAATATATACACCGATGCAGGAACCTGTATTGCTGCCACCAATACAGGCTTTGAACTCTGAAATGATTCAGTCTGATGCAAATGAAACCGTTATCGAGGACTCTTCTATTTCTAAAAAGAGTGCTCTAAGCTTTTTCAAAAACATAATTAAAGAAAATGAAGAAGAAACAAAATCATCAAAGCAGTTTGAGCCTGTCAAGAAACCTTTCATTTCCGAATCAATGTCTACATTTGAATCAAGCTTGCCTCCTTTGTATGTAGAAAATCTACTACCGGAACCGGTTTCATTTACCCAGACCAGCTTTCAAGAAACATCACAGAATTTTGAATCTATCTACACCAGCGATGGTCTTGTACTTCAACCTGAACCTCCGCCTGAGATGGGGTTTATTTCAAAGTCACAAGTTTTCAAAAATAAAGATGAAATATCAGAAAAAGTTAAGAAACTTGAAGAATCTCACAAACTTATTCCTGAAGAGCAAATTCCATCAGGTGGTGTAAGGATTTTTCCGACTCCTCAGAAAGCACCACCCGAAAAAATAATTGCTCATAAAGTTCCTCCTCAACCATTGCAAACTGTTTTATCAGATTCTACATCAACACAGACTAGTATCCAAGAAACCATTCATGAACCAGTCAAGCCACCATTACTGCCAGAAAGTTCTTTTCAAACTTCCTATTTACCAAGCCCTCCTGAGAAACCTCAAACAAAACCTGCTCCAGTCCAATTCAATGTTGCAAAGTTTGATTTTGCAAAGAAAACTGAACCGAGCCAAACAGAAGTTTCAACTGAATCGTTTAACAGTTTCCAGTCGAGTAGTTACAAAACTGAAACTTTGAATGGAGGAGACTTTGGCAGTCAAACATTTGATTCTCTTGGTCCTATAATCAGGCCATCAGCTGATATTCAGGTGAGACCACAATCACCCAGACCATCTGCTGAAGGAGTCAACATGGAAAAGTTATGGACTTTGAAACAAAAAGAAGATATTGTGGAGTACGCTTGCTCTTCTCCGGTTGAATTTTTTGCTCCCGTAATAGAATCTAAAGAATTTAAATCTGAGGAGTTTAAGTCATTTAAAGAGATCAAACATACAGCATCACCAGTACCTTCAGCTACCGGTCTTGCGTTGGAAAAATTATGGGCTGCTCCTGTGGACAAATTAAGGCCTCTTTCATCACTGTCCATTGAAAGGCCAAAATCTGCTCTCTCTGATAGACCAAAATCTCCTTCAGCTGAGGGGTTGGCAATGGATAAAATTTGGGCTCACAAAGTCTCGACTCAAAAAATGGTCTGGCCTCCAGTTCAACCAAAAGAAGAGCCTCAGACCAGCCCACCTTGGTCTCAAAAGACTGATGAAGCGTCACCTTCAAACATAGCTGATATATCATCTCAGACATCAATGCAAAATGAAAGCTTTACAGAGAATAATGTCAAGTATGAATCTCAGTCCTTCTCTAAAATGGAAAGTTCATCTTTTTCGTCTTCAAACTTTTCAGAAAACATAAAAACATCTGAGAGTGCTTTCAAGGAATTTAAAAATGTTAAGCCATACATTCCACCAACTCCTCCTCCACCAGAATCAAAGATAATATACGTTGCTGAAGCCCATGCTTCTCACACTACTAATATTCCAGCAATCGAACCGTTAGTTACAGAGTCAAGCTTTATGTCAAGCTCGCAATCTTATGAGAAGATGGAGAAAACTGTAACTGATTCATCAGTGGTAGAAGAAAGAGTTATCAGACCATCAGAAGCAGTGAAACTTTGGCCACCTCCTCCTAAAGAAAGTAAAGAATGCGCAAGCAGCTATGAAAAACGGGAAATTAAAAACGAATTTTCTTCTTCAATAACTGGTGAAAATTCTCTGAATAATATTCCATTACAGCCTGGGCCTCCACCAGAAATAGGGTTTGCAGAACCTCCTAAAAGACGCCAATCTTATGTGGAAAGCATAGAGCAAGACATTGAGAAAAATATTGATAAAACACCATCAAAGCATTTACCAGGAGCAGTAAGAATAATTCCTCCACCACTGAAGAAAGAAAAAGTAGTTTCGTCTGAAGTTAGCTCTAAAAAGAAACAAGTTTCTTCAAGTTTTAAAGAAAATAATGTTAATAAAAAACCATACGAGCCTGAAAGTATAAACAAACCTTTACCAAAACTTGAACCGTTCCCCTACAAACCAGATCCACCACGAAATAGACCATCTAGGTGCCCCCCACCGCCTCGTCCTAGCAGGTTTGTGAAAGGGTCGTGGACAGAAAGTGAATACGAGAGTGATTGTGACTCTGTGAGGATTCCTATCAAGTGGAATCCCTGGCAGAGTGATTCTGAAGATTATTGCTACAAAAAAGTTAAACCTCCGACTCCAGTTGCCACCAAACGTCCACACTCAGCCTCTGGTAGAGCAGTTCCTCCCACAGAGTTTGAGAAACCTCCACCACTTCAAGGCCCTTCTAAACCTGCACCTCAGCCATCAGAGATGTCCAAGAGCGCCAAGAGTAAAATCATTAAAACGGAAGAAATACACCAGAAATCTGTCGTATCAAAGTCGGTTCAAAACAAGTCAGTTGGATTGAAACCAGGCTCACCTCCTCAGTATGTTGAAGCTCCTGCTCCAAAGCATAAGCCAGCTCCCAAACCAGGGTCACCAAAGGCCAAGACGAAGGTTGTTCAACCTCCACCGTCAGACGGTTACACAGCTGATACGGACGAACCTTCCCGTCAGTACAAGGCTAGCGTCAAGACTGAGGAGTCAGTAGTCTCTAGGATGGAACAGTCTGTCACCATGGAACAGAAGACTTTCTCTTCCAAGACTTCAACTAAGAAGGTTTGAATGTGTGACGTGTGACTAACAGATGGATTGATTTGTGAAACTAATTAGTAATTACACGCTTAGGCATGACATGCACAACACTCCTAATTATGTTGACGTGTTAATTAATTTTCCATAACTGTAAGCAAGTTATGTAAACAATTTACTGTTGTTTCTAAAATGTTTTGCAAAAGTTTAATTTTTTTTATTGTCAATGTACATTTTAAATTAACTCTTAATACAAATGTATCTTAAGCTTAAAATTAGCTAATACATTTTGATCTGAATTGTTTATAGTTTTTAAAAAGCCTAGAGAGTAGAATTGATTTTTCCTTTATATGTCAAAGTAGCTGTCTTATTTTGTGATCTTTTTGGATGTCAAAGCACCATTATAATATTCAACACCATATACATCTGGGCTATATCAAGGTACAAACTTCACCAACATTTTAAACTTTTTTCTTTGAACTTGTGTTAAATGATTGTGTTTTGTATTTCTGAGTTCACTTTTCTTTACTTTAATCAATTGACAAATCAAATGTACAGTAGACTCCCTCTCGTTCGGCCATCTCGGGACCGAACCACCGGCCGAACTAAAAAATGGCCGAACTAACCGATGATATATAAAAAAGGCTACTTTTTCTGCCGTAAATGGACTTACTGTACAGTATAAGGGATCTATACACTAAACTAAACCTAATTAATAAGACTAGGCCTAGGCTAAGTGTAGATTTTAAACTTACCCTCAGAAATGTTGGTATTGTTTAATGAAAACACGTACTGAACACTTGACACTGTACTGACATTATTCATTTATTTCACACACAATAAACATAAATAATGTAGGCCTAAATACAATAAAAAAGAATCCACACAACACTGAAATTTTACAGGAATGATGTTTAAACTACAGTCTTGCACTGTAATGACAAAGTTTAAAAGAAATCAGTAATTTTTCGCTGTACCTTTTCTTCAGTTGATTTCTTTCTAGCATAGTCACGCCATTTTCTAAAAAGCATTAAGTCAACTGCTGTAGAACTCGTCTGCTGTTCGATGTAGGTTGTAGCCAGTTGCAGGGCTGCCATTCCCTCTGCGTGACTCATTTTACACTCGTCGTCCTCATCACGGTCGCCACCTTCTTCTTCTTCTCCTTCTTGGGTTTCTTGACGCTGTAAAACTGATTGAGCGATTTCTTCGTCGTTCAAAATTTCATTGTCCACCTCCTTTTCGACAGATACCCACTCCAAAACATCTTCAAGCTCAACATTTTCACTGTGAGGCAATTGCTGTAAATTATTTAGGATGTAAGCTTGGTCGTCTGCTTCACTCTCAAGGTTGTGCACATCAACAACATTGCCTTCACTTGCAACAACTTCTTCAACATTCGGCCATACCTTTCTCCACGACTTAACTAATGTTGAAGGTTGTACTTCGTCATAGGCCTTCGCTACCATGAAAATCACGTCCTTCATGTTGATTGTCTTTGAAACCTTGATGAGATCGGTGTTTTCGTCGCTATCCAGTTTGTACAAAACTTCTGAAAGAAGCTTTCGACGATACTTTCTCTTGAAACACTCTATTACCCCTTGGTCCATTGGCTGTTGGAGGCTTGTTACGTTGGGGGGCAGGTAGTACAGTTTTATTCCAGACTCGCCATCACATTCTAACTCATCCGGATGGGTAGGCGCATTGTCAAGAACAAGAAGTGCGTTTACAGGGAGTTTTAAACTCATCAAACGACTTTTTACTTTAGGCACGAACTCACTAATAAACCACTCTTTAAACAAATACGAGTCCATCCAAGCAGACTTCTGAGCCCGGTAGTACACTGGTAGTTTTGATACGTCCAAGTTTTTGAATGCTCTCGGTTTTGCTGATTTTCCGATTACAAAAAGGGGCAATTTATGCGTACCCGAAGCATTGGAGCAAAGTGCCACTGTGATCCTATCTTTACTGACCTTAAACCCAGGGGCAGACATTTCTGTTGCTGCAGCAAATGTTTTCCGTGGCAAGAGTTTATAGTACAGCCCTGTTTCATCGATATTATAAACCTGTTCCGGGCTTAGGTTATTCTCAGCAATAATTTGCTCAAATTTCTTTGTAAACTCAGCTGCACCAGCAGGGTCTGCCGACAGCTTTTCGCCACACACCCCAAGAAAATGTACCCCGTGTCTTTTTTTCCAACGGGAAAGCCATCCCTCACTTGCGACAAATTCCCCCTCCTCACCAAGTTTCCCATGTAAGATAACCGCCTTCTCCTTTAAGATAGGGCCACTGATCGGCGTTCCCCTTCTTCGTTCCTGCATAAACCACACCCAAAGAGCATCGTTCACCAATTCATTTTTAGGTTTTTTTAAAGTGCAACGTGATGAAAGAGCTTTTTCCGATTCAATCTGCGGTTTCGACGCCAGTCATTCACGGTGCTTTTACCAACCCCCAAATCTGTACAAATACTTTGGACCGATTCACCTTTGTCTATTCTCTCTAGAGCTTGCAACCGCTGTTGCATTGTCACAAATGTACGTTTTCGTTTAGCACTCATAATAATGTAAAGTACGTACAGTCACTTATAAGTTAAAGTTCAGTTAACAAAACACAATTAAATCAGTTCACTAAGTCACAACAACTAATGTACACACACGAACGTCCGGTACTGTACTGAACAGTGAACACGTGTGCAGTGAACTAGAGCTAAAACGGAAGTCAGATTCTTATCTGCTTCCGTTTTATAGATACACAATTTAAAAAAACTCTATCCAGGCGGCCGGCCGAACCATCCGGAGGCCGAACCAACCGAGGCCGAACGAGAGGGAGTCTACTGTATGTTAGTTAATTTCAGTCCACATAGTCAAGCTACAAAGCACATAGTAAAGCTTTTTACAACAATCTACATTTTCAGTTCGCAAAACAAAAAAAGAAAATTTCATGTAATAACACTACAAGTACTATTTTAAGCTGATCGTCTTTTCAGCAGTTTTTTTTAATGATCATTATCGATAATTATTTCAATAACTCATGAATCAAAATAAAGATACTGTATTCTGGTTTTACTATTTTCTAAACATTTAAAAGGCCCTGACCTTAATTTTTGTTTGTAAAATTAATTTTTGTAAAATCTCTTACACAAATTGGTCAAATTTAAAAATATTTTATAAATAACACGAATGCTTCATTTTCTACTCCTACTGGTTTGACAAGGCCAGTAATTGATTGAGTTCTATCTTTTAAAAGTTTGACATCAGTTTTCTTGTAATGTTTGCTGTAAAGCAGGTGTGAGTTGTTACATGAGATCTTGCTTTAAATAATCTCTGGTTTCTGCAAACCGTCTGAGCTTCCAAATAATTCTCGTGACCCAATTTTTTTGCAGTTTTTTTTATTACTAGAATGTTTTTTAAGTAGCCTACTAGAATGTACTAGTTTTTTGTTTTCACACAATTTGATCACATTATTTGTTAAGTTCAAATGCAAATAATGGATATCTGCATGCAATAGTTTGACAAATTCAACGTGGAAATATATTTTTTTAATACTCTTATTCTTATAAAATTACTTAATAAATTTAATTGATAATTAAGCTGTGTTCTTAACTTAAATAAGGTGGTTAGTAAAAAATGGTTATCAAATTGTACTGAGGGACATAAAAAGTATGTTTTTAGAATACTAAAATAAGTTGTAAATATTGATTTATAATATTATCTATCAATATGTTTAAAGTTAATAATGTTTGTATTTGTCAAAACTTATATGTTCTCCTTGTAGTAAAGTTATAATCAACTTCTTCAAGAGATATTATTTTGTAAAAGCTTTACTTATTGTTTTAATATTTTTTCAGGAGTCTTCACAAATGGAGTTTCAATCTTCTGTGGTGAAGAGAGAGGAACCACCGTTGGAACCATTCCCTTTCAAGCCTGACCCTGTCCGGCCAGCCAAGCGGTCCATGGGTCCACCACCCCCATCCCCCTCCAAGTTCATCAAGGGTGAGTTCAGGGAAAGCGACTACGAAAGTGAATACGAGGGTAAAATAAAACCCATCTGGCGGCCTGGCGACCCTCCAGAAGATATGAGCTTCCGTCCCGTCAGGCCCGTGTTGACTCCTGTTAGTGGTAAAACGCAGAACATCGGGCGAACACCTACACCTCCGACAGCATTTGACGAGCCTCCCAGCTTCAACGGCCCTCCTCGGCCCAAGTTTGAGCCTATCGATAAACCGACATCAGCGACCAAAGTGAAAGAGACAATAGTGGAGAAGACAAAAGTGATAAGACCGACACCAGTTCAGTATAAGCCTCAAGCCCCGTCTCCAGTTGAGACCATTTATGCAACTCCGGCATCGAGACCTGTACCAGAGTTCATCCTCAAACCTGGTTCCCCTCCAAGGATGGATTACGCCCCCCCTCGCCCGGGTTATGTGGAAAAATCAAACATAGTGAACTTTACAGAATCAACAGCGAGTAGTAAACGTGTTGTGAGTGTCCAGCAGACGACGAGGGTAGTGCCGCTCAGGAAAGAGAATATTCCACCGAAGTTCTCTGCAAGGGACAGTGATTATGATAGTGAGGTGGATGGTGTAGTGAGGACTTCTTACTTGGATGCTGAAAAGAAAAGACTGAAGAGAGTTGAAGAAATGAAAAGGAAGTTTCTGGAATCCGAGCCACACCTTCAACCAGGAGAACCCCCAGAATTCGCCTTCAGTCCAGAGCCTTCCAAACTGGCATGTGAGTTTGATTTATCTTGATATTAAATGTAAGGTCAAATTGTAACAGTGAAATACCCCCGTCACAATAATTCTGCAGACTAAGCAAATTCCCGTTTGCCTGTTTGGATTTTCACTAAAATATTTCCTGAGTAATGTCAGATGATTCCCTATTCATATAACATTAGGTTTAACAAGTATTTGGGTTTGCTGCTACAGGAAAGGTAAGAAGGTGTGTTCTTTAGTAAAATCTTATTAGCTAAGTAGGAAATAAATTAATTTTCCAAATCTCATCAAAATACATCCATAAACAAGCAAACTTCAACAGTTTACTTATTCTCCATTAAAATAACACAAATATCTAAAATTTAGAGTTTTTGAAATTTTTTTCTGTAACCATTTACAACAATGCTTCAACACACAGATTATTTTTTGAAACTCTTAAAAAATGTTTGGAAAAAACTGCAAAATTATGTTTTGAACGTGAAAAAGTGAAAAAAACAATTTTCCTTAAAACTCCCACATAAAATCCTGTTGCCATAGTCCAATAATCCTAGCTCTTGAACTCATTTAAATAAACCTAGGTTTACATGTCTTCGTCAAGCTCAAATTTTTCTACAACGGACATACGTATGTAATATATATATGAAACAGGCTCTTTCCATAAGACCCACGGTGATAGCTTATTGCCTGTATGGGGAATTTGCTTGAAGTACTTAAATATTTATTTTTTGTTATGACGATGAATTGTAGTGTTCACTATTTTCTCACTAAGTAGATAAAACTGTATAACACCTTGTTAAGAAAATTAAATTATTATATATATATAGACATAATAAACTCATTTACCTATGTACCCACCGTGTAGTGTACAGGCTCAAAGTTATAGTGATAGGTAAAGAGTATGCGTTTTCACATCTCTTAAAAAGACATACTTTTATCTAATTGAATTTACCTACTCAAACTCTGCATTGCCTTTCATGGGTTCATTTGGGTTTTAAATTGCATTTAACAGTCGTGCTATCACACGTTAAACATGTAATGTACTTTTTAATAGAAACTGTGCCTAATATAATACAAATACATATTGTTTTATATTGTAATGTGTCTTAATACTTCCATATGAGATGGTATAACTAATCAGGATGCTTTACTGAACCATTAAATCAATGCACAATTTTAAGATCATATAAAAAAATATATATATATCTTAAACTGTGTTTGCAGATTCAGCTGCTTCAAAGCAAATGAATGAAATGACAAAAACATTCAAGGGTAAAACACAGAAGTTTGTGTCAGATATCATCACAGAAATCAAAACAAATCAGAAGGGGAAACCACCTGATGAACCACAAACATACAGAGATGAAAACCGCCTCAGCGAGTATGGTAAGAAGCTTTGTAAACTTTTTGAAAGTATTTATTATATTAATTAATATTTGATCTTTCCACCAACAAGTTCATTTTCAATTAAACTGTTACTCACCGGGATCAAGTCACTTACCAGTACCTAAGCTTTGGTTTTAGAATTTTTTTGACTCCTTCTATAATTTGTGAAATCAGATATAGGACAGAAAAGATAATGAAGTAAATAGTTTGATTACTTGTAGTTGGTTTTTGTTTAACGTAAACAGTAAACAGTACTATTCTTCCTAAAAAATTATCTTTATTTTAGCAAACAAATTCTTTTACTCACTAACTTTATTAGATCATACAACTGTGAATCCGTTTCTGACTCACCTTATTGTATGATTCCATACAGTACATTATATGTTTAAAAATCTGATATTTTGACCTAGAATTATCTGATTATTTATAAATTGAAGCACCTCATGACATTTACTCTATTAGGTACAAAACAAATAGACCCAGATACAGGCTTAATCTACTTCAAGTACGACTTTGGCTACGAGTTTGGTATAGTTCTCCCAGGAGAGCAAAAACCCGGTGCTCCAAGAAAGATTGTCAGTGGACCATCAAAAAAAGAAGAAGGCGCAATAGATTTCCCAGTCATTCACGAGACTACACAAAAAAAGAAACCTCACAAGGCAAAGACAGTAAAATGGGAACCTACTTCCGAAAGCGAAATGTCTGAGATAGAGAGCGAGAGATTTCATCGAGGTTCGGCCCTGCCACCGTTCCGGATAAGAACTCCGAGTCCGGAGTCACAAAGTCCGAGCTTAAAGTCAGTTTCACCGTACACTCCTCATGGACGAGAATCAGCAGGTGCCAACTTGCAGCAACATGTTTTGTGGCTTCGTACTCACACAATTACTTCTGCTGTATTCTATGACATTCGTTTCAAACTTCTAGTGTCTATCTATAAACTAATCAATAATAAACAATTAGTGTTGTATGCGTGTTTGCTTTGTGACAAAAATGCTAAATAAACCATTTGAGAGTTAGTTAAACACTTTTGGTTAAACTTAAGTAAGCAAAAGTTGTAGATACATCCAATCAGTTTAAATTCATCTAATCTTATAGACTTTGTAAGACTTCAACCTATAAGAAGTGTTTTCAAATCTTAATTTCACATAAATAATAAATAGTTAGGACTAAATTTTGATTTTTTTTTCAAATTAAGAAATATTTTGAAACTGTTCTTGAAAAATGTAGAGTCTCTACTATCCAGCTACAGGGGAGCGAGCTGGTCTAGTGATAGAGGGTGGGACTTCGGTCCCTGAGGTCCCGGGTTCAAATCCCACCAAACCAATGGATTTTATCTAAGTGGCATTATCAGCAACACTTAGGTCTAGCCTGAAGTATAAGGTGAAAAACAATTCCAGGCTTCGTCCTAGCGTCCTAAGACAGAAATTTGCTTAGGTAGTGTCTTTACAAATAGTGCAATACTACCTAAAACTCTGTGTATGTCATTCAAGAAATGGATTTTCTTTAAAATTAGCTGGCTTAATGTCATTTATATAATATTCTTGCTAAAAACTATATTAACTCTTCTAAAATTGAAAGATTTTATCACACAAACATACCTCATAACATTTCCACTAATTCAAACTCAATAATAATAATTTTTCACTTTAACTATCTGTATCTCTGTATATTGTATACTAACTTTTTCAAACCGAATGAATAAACATAATATATGGCTTAATGTGCTTAATGCTTAAATTTAATCTGTGTGATAATTAATTTAAAAACATTTAATTATAAACTAAGCTACATCAGTGTCATTATTAAATTAGCTGGTAAAAAATCCTTTAAAGAACAAAAAGTTTGCTTTGTATTAGAATATATAAGCTCCTGGTAAAAAAAAGTGTGAAAAAATGTAAAAATCTCATTATTATTACTATAATAGATTATCCCAAGTTCTGTCCCTAACAGAGTCTAAATGTATAAACAGATTGTTGAAAACAAATTTAGTAGTTCACTCAACATTTTTGAGCTGAATCCAATGGCCAATATTTGTTTTGGTCACCCATGTCAAATTAGAATTTCTCTTATAGAAATGATATCTGTAAATGTTTGTGGGATTGTAGACCCTACTATGTTGTGACAAAATCAGTATTTCAATTTTAGTGAAATATTATATTCATGTAATCTACTAAACAGACATCAATATTTTGCTTTTGTTTTATTGCTTCTCTACAAAATCATAAAAACAAAAAATAGATGAATTATTTAAGTCTTCACTGTTGTAACACTTTTTCTATTTAAATTCAGTATTCAACATTTGTCTTCAAACCAAAAGACACAATGGGCATACCTTTAAAAAAATGTTATCAAAATATGTTATTGACCTTGAAGACAATGAATATATTACAGAGCAATAAAATAAATAATAAAATTTTAACTTACTAATTGTAAGGTGTAATTATTATAAATCCAATGTTGTTCTTCAAAGTAACCAAGAAAAGCCTTTCGAAATGTCACCCAAACCGGTACGGCAATCAATAGTTTTATTAATACTTATAAAGTCAATCGGGGCAAAGCCCGTGGGTAACAGCTAGTAAATAATAAAATACTGACTTACTAATTGTAATTTGTAATCATTAATTGTTGAGCAAAATGATTACTGGTTATTGCAAAAAAAATGTAAACACCTAGTGCACCCTAGTTTTAGGTTAAGACTTAAAAGGGTTGTGAAGTATTGTAACACAGTACCATTATCTAGTTATTCGTTCTGATTATCATGATAATGTTTCTTGTTTGTTTGTATATAGTGTCGCCTGGCAGCCCATGGCTTGGTACTGAAGGGCCTAAGATGGTCAGAGCCATATCTCCTGGAGAACAACCTAAGAAGGTTCCTCTCTTCATCACTGTAAGCAAACTTGATCCATTTATCAGGACATTGACACCATTATTTAAGAACTACATATTTTAAGCTTAATATAGATGATGGACAAACATTCTTTATTTACATTTTTATTGAGAACAGTACAATTGTTATTATACAGAGGTTATTTTGGTCCTTTTTAAGAAACAGAAAAATCAATACTGCCATATCTCCGTTCCAGCCTACAAAGGTCTATCGAGCAGCCAGTCTGTAGGTTTGTCCTTGAAGCTGATTGGGTTGGTTTCTTTATTTCTTATGGTGCTATGGAAGGAGGTTATAATATGCAGCATCTGTATAGGACGATTTTCCAAGAATGTTTGCTTGCGGAAGAGTGACATCGGATCATGTCTGGTGTTGTTATGATGTAGGTATCCATGTCAGGTTTGCTGGGTACACCACCACAGCTGATGTACCATCTGAATATGAATTCAGGATGAGTGAGTAATAGAGTGAGAATAGTTGTCTTCAGCCATCCAAAAACATCAGGAACAGCAATACGCTTCTTTTCTTTTTAGGTTTTCATACTACTTTTTTGGCAGCTCATTTTCACCAGACCAAAGTCAAAATCCAAATCATCCTGAGTCAAAACACCAATACATTTTAATAAAAAGTATAAATATACATAGATGAGTAAAATGTACTTTAGTGTCTTCATGAAGGCCAGGAGCTCAATTAACCCATCATCCATGACAATAAGAATGTTTTTCCGCTTTCAGTGATGTTGTTAGTGCAACTATCCCCCATAACATCTGTTCAGCACAGTGAATGAGGAATTGAGTATAGGGGAGGTGTGTGACTCTGACTCAAAGTAATGATTATGATAATATTAATGATTAATACAATTTTTTGACACACATCCTTATATATAATACGCGAAGGCGATTTCTACAAAACACTACTCCTCCGTTAATAATAAACGGATTTTTACAAACAATGTGTCAAAATTAAGTATTTTTTGTGTAGACGCCCCCTTTCACCAATTCCTGTAATAAAAGTCCTCGGGCTTTGCCCCACAGGCCATCAAAATCCCAATGTATTTCTTATGAAGAAAAGATTTTGTTTACTTAAACAGACAAATTATTTCTGTCAATTACAGCTGTTCACAGTAAAAACATGATACACACAAGAGCTATCGTTTTCAGAGTGAGTTCGTTTCCAGTTTCGATAACTGGAGTGGAGTGATTGAGTATATAATCTTTGAGTTGACTCTTTTAATTCATCGGAGGTTACGACTGTTATTAGTTTTGAACGCCTGTAATACTTTGCAATTGCTCGAAATACTTTGCAATTGCTCAAATTCAAGCAACAGGTGCACTAGTTGTCATTTATAATTTGACCTGAATACTTGATTCTGATTGTTGCAGCCCCTCCGGGACATTGCCTGTGTGAACGGCCAGCCTGCGAGGTTTGAGTGCATCGTGTTGGCAGAACCAAGTCCTGATGTTGTGTGGTCAAAGGATGGATCTGTGTTGACACCTTCACCAGATCACCAGACAGAGTACCGCAATGGTGTCTGTAGACTTACACTACCAATCGCCCGGCCATGTAAATAATTTGTTTTTCTTTAATGTATTGCATATTTTTCAAATCAGTAAAATATTCCCTAGTATCAAAATCTCTATGAATACATTCATGAGACTAAAAACACCAATTGAAAATTATGACATTGTCTCCATTTTAAACTATTGTTTCAACACTTTTTAATAAATCACTGTAAGAAAAATATAAAGCAAACTATTAGCTTTGGTTGGCTTTTTAGGCATTTTGTTCTCTCTATTGCAATAAAGAGAATATTATAACAAAAGCGCAGTTGACACTAAAGCCGTGTTTAAATGAGGCTAGAGCAGGCCTCTAATGTATTTCAAGTTACCTGAGGCAAGTAACGTGCCTGCCAACTGGCCTCGACTAAACACGGCCATATATAAAACCAAGTAAATCAGTTCACCCTACTCGAATTTGATCAAAAAAGTTAATTAATTTCCACTATTAACTGTAGGTCCATCAGTTGCCATTAGCTGAATGGGCTATTAATTAACAGCTGTGTCTGAGGAGCGGTCTTGATCTGCCTTAGTCACTAACAAGACTACAAGATCGCGTCACTCATTTCCATTCATACCTGGCTTAAAATACCTACATTGTATGGTCGCCATTTCAATGAAAGGACTAAATAAGAAACTAGTGCAAGCAATGGGACCCATTATGCAAGTATATTTAGATTTGTGAAGGCTTTCTTTGAACCAATACTAATGACACTGCACCAACAAGCCAGTTTGAATCATCTAATGAGCAAAACCAGAGTTAGACGCTGGCAATACTTGCAGTGACTCATAACAAACAATGTCCCTTCTTCAATTTCATCTAGATAAATAAGTATCACATATGATTAACCATTAGACAATTGCCACAAATCACAGTTTGTATTCTATAGGATGTGCTTGATTTGTTGCAATATAGAAAGAGACCACTACTCTTTCATTGCAACTAATTAGGATTCTATAATGAATAGTTTACTCCAACATGAAACTTTGAGGATTTTTTATCGTCATAACCTCACTGAAGATCTGCATTAAAAAAAATCTCATCCAAAAACAATAACTTCCTCTTCAACATTTAAGAAGTTTCTTACAATACCGGTACTAGCTCTTTTTGACATTGTTGTGATTTTGAAGAATCACAAATGGTTTTTTTTTTAAACTTACCTTTTTGTTTGATAGTTACCTTGAGTTATTGAAGATTTCTTTTCCTGATGCACATTTTGCCTCAGGTTGTGGCATGTTCAGAGGTCACTATGCTTACATCCTAATATTAATCACTTTAATCACTTAATCACTTTACTCACATTACCCACTTACTAAATGTTCACACTTTTTTCACCTTTTCCACTTTACTCACTTTATTTTCTCCATTCAATTTACTCACTTTACACTCCCTACAAACTCAACTTCCTTACCGTTGTACCATTACATCAGCTGTGTTTGTGTTGCTACAGTTGACGCGGGCCAGTACTCGTGCACAGCCAACAACATCGCAGGATCCGCTACCACCTCCGCCAGTCTACAAGTGCCAGGTGAGAGGAGGAATGTATATCCTTGAGGCTCGGGGAGTATCCTTCTCCTTCTCCTGGGTCTAACATGCATCGGTCCCAACCCTCGCTTGGTGGTGGTTGGTTACAGGGTCTGGTGTCTTGTCAATACTCGCCTTGTTAGCATAATGAAATCCATTGATTATAGATTGAAATTTCAAACTTTTCCAATAAGCTAGACACTTACTGCAGCACCAGCTCAATAACCACTTCTGTAGTGTCGTACCAAAGGAAATAACGGTTTAATTACTGAGCGCCTACGTACAATTGTGACAGCGGAACTACTGTTGAAATAGTGAATCGAAACAGTTAGGTAATTTCTACCTGTTCTAATGTGATTTAACTTAAAAATCAAAAACAAAAATATATATATAGCCTGTATAGAAATGACAATTGAGCACTTGCCTGAACCGGTTCTGAACAAAAATCTATCATTGCCCAATCTCAGCTTAATAAGTTAACCTGCAAACTTTGCTAAACAATCACGAAAGGCTGGTTTTAGGAAATAATTAAAAACCTCTTACACCAATACCGTACTAATACTAGACCAGTGGTGTTTTATCGTAACTCAAAATTATTTCTACCCAAGCCAGAAAAAAACCTGTGAATATGTTTAAAAATAAACATTTTATTCAAGATTTTTTTTTAACACCTTAGTTTATGAAAGTATACAAATGTTCATAAGCTACTCTTTTTTAATGAAAAACATAAGTTTTTTTAGCCTAATGATATTTTGATATAGGAGCGCTAGACAGAAATTTTCTAAATATGTGTTTGCTTTATTGAGACACTTTGTGGTATATACCAATCTATTACTGAATTTCAATCTTATGTCAAGAATTCGTTAACAAGGTAGTATTTTTTACATTTGTGTAAACCCAAAGCTTTATAAAGAAATCCTGAATTTAATAAATTCATGTTTGGATCACTTTCAATTATGTTAGTGATTGATATTACATATCTCTTTATACAATTTTAAGATATTACGTGTTTAACCACTTGTTTCATTAGTGGGCTATCTTTTCTTTTTTTGTTTAACTACTTGCATTGCTTTTCCTTTAGACATATTTATTTTAAATTCCACAGTGATTTTTTGAAGACTTTTGTGTTGTTCCACCGTATTTTTGTGATGTAAACTTCCTTTTCTTATGAACTCGTTTATATTAAAATTAAATAAAGCAACTGTTAACTCATTCACCCAGCACATTTGCTGAAATAGGGGTATTGTACAGTATTGAAAATGTTAAGACTTAAATACTTTGCCTATTGAAATATTTATTTTACTTACTAACACAGGATATGGTGTAATTATAGTTACATATTCGTACTTAACAAAACAACACAAACAATCTTTCAAAGCCTAATGGGAGCTGTACATGTTTATCCTTTTTAAAGGTTTTCGGATTTTGAATGTTATAAGTATTATATTATTACATTTAGTTATTGTTAATTGTCTATGTATTTTATATTAAAGTGTTAATGAATGTGTATTGTATTGGATGCTTTGGCGAAGAAATAAATCTTGGTTCTGCTGGGTTGGTCTTTTCTTCCGCTTTCTTTTCTATCTGCTTCGACCATTTCTCTGTAGTTTAGACAAATTATCACTGAAACACTAATATCATAATATAGCTGGCTAGTTCTTTATACCTCCAAAAGTCGCATTTAAACTTTATTACTTTACTTTAAACTGTCTTGACATTGTTAATTCTAGAATATGGGAATATTTATGATATTTAACCTAATTAAGTAAGTGACCTAAATTACATATATACAGTAGACTCTTGATAATTCGAAATTGGTGGGCCAAGCATTTAAATTTGAATTATCAAGAGTTTTGAATTATCAAGAGTTCGATTTATCGGGAGAAAAATAAACCATTCGAATTACAGAGAGTTCATTTTTTAATACATACAAAGGTACAGCACGTTACAATAAAACATCATACTGTACCGTATTTTAGTACACTTTTAAACAATCAACGGCTTATTTTTCAGTTACTTTAGTTGCAAAGAAGTCTGTTATTTAGCGCTATATATTTCGCCAATAGCTGAACTATCAGCTGTCGACAACTACGTTTGTGCTCAAGGAGATGTCGCGCAATCTAGAGATCGGATTGCCAACTTAGAAAAACAAGTCAGTGAACTAACTCAGACTACTGCTCTAACTAAACAAACATCAAAACGTCCAACAGTAGCCTACCAAAGAAACAGGATGTACTGTACTGTATAGTTTCCTGTTATAACAGGAAGAGATCACTTCGAATTATAGAGTGTTTTGCCGTCTAAACTTCGAATTACTGCGTGACTTTGATTTATAGAGTGTTTTTTCGACAAAACTTCGAATTACAGCATGACTTCGAATTATAGAGTGTTAACTGACGAAACTTCGAATTACTGAGTTACTTCGAATTATAGAGTGTTTTTCCGACGAAACTTCGAATTGCTGCGTGTTACAAATTGACCTGCCCTCTATTTGGACTTTGAAATACCGAGTGTATCAAAATGCATGGTAAAAATTTGAAATATTGAGAGATTCTCTAGGGACTGAGCCTTCATTTTGAATTATCGAAAGTTTTGAATTATCAAGTGTTTGAATTACCAAGAGTGGACTGTATATTGTTAAGTGAGTGGCTGAACAAATAATTCCATGTTGATGGCCCCTGGATTACTATAAATGACAATACTTGACGAGGTAATTATACCACAATATTATAGCGAAAAAATAAGAATGTTCTCTTAATTTCCGATTCACTTGACGTAACAGGTAAGTGAAGGTACTTGGTGTATGGATATAATAAAGTAGTATCCTTATTTTTATCAAGTACTAAGTAATGCTATATGCTATCAAGTACTTAGGAAAAGTGTTTGAAACTTGTGTTTATAAACACTTAAAATTATCAAATTTTTCCCTGGGGAAAGCACTGGAGCCCCCTGTCGCCAAGGGGTTATTCCATACTGACCCCTGGTAAGTTTGTGACAGGAAAAATTCAAAAATTAACGCCACTCCAATAAATTAACTCTAGTTCTGTCCAAGTCCTTAAAAAAATACTTGTCAATATAGAATTTTGATCAGTGCAATATTTAGGACAGTGAAGTACCTTACAATACAAGTCACAGGCAAACCAGTGGTAAGTGCAGTGAAAAAGATACTGAAGATGCTGGTTTTGAACCAGTTATGTCTAAACCTTGGTTTCATTTGATGAAACCAACTTGTAGGACCATTTTATCTTGTTCATATCAATAAAGGTATCAATTTAAAAAAATCAAAAGTCCCATACAAACTAATTTTAGAATAAAAAAATTATCTAAGTTTACTCAAACTTGCTTGATGAAATTTGTTTATGCCGATGGCTTTACGCTGGTATTCCAGCACAAAAACATACATCAATCAAATGTGAGATTAATTAATGGCCTAAATCTCTCAGAGAGTATCTATTATACTGAAAGTTAAACTCTAATTCAGATCAAACTGAAATTGAATGCTTTTACTTGAATAAAAAAACCTGGTTGATCTCAATCTTAAAATTCTATTTGATGGTGTAGAGATTTAAAAGAATTCCAACAAGCTCTGCATAATACTGCTTTGTCCCTGGTATAATCTGCTCTAAATATTGTGCTTCGTTGTTTCCAATCAGCGCTCATGAGACTGGCATCAATGTAAATACTACATAGGACAGTGAGAGTGGTTAGTAGAGTTTTACTCTTCCTTTACTTCCGATTTTGTGCAATATGGCTAGAGTCGAAAGCAGACACAAAAAGAACTCATGAAGCATTACAATTAGATTATATCCGTTCATATACCAATTCATAACTGTTCCTTAGTCAAAATGAAATTGTCTTCCTCATTTTGAGTCCTGAAAACCACCACGCAAATATACCTCAGCTCAAGGAGATTGAATTAAGGTGTTTGGTTCTGCTCTTGGAGGTCCTTTTAAATATATGACCACTTCCTGGTAACTGATCTGTCATTGGATGCGAGTATTTGTAACAATGGTTATCTGATTTAGTATGTAAGGCTATAAACCTGTCAATGATTGCCCTATGATGGCTTTGCCTGGTGGAATACCCATAGTCAATAGCTTAATGTATTGCATTCATCATGTGAAGGGGAGCCATTCTTAGTGTTTATTTTTTATTTTATTTCAAGATAAATTATTTTACTAAAGGTTGTTTTACAACATAAGTCATCTCTAGTGGCTGGCTCAAAGATCCATACATTAATACTGTATAGGCATAGTGTAACAAGTACTAACTGTCACCTACTATTTACTATATTGTCAATCTCCATAAATGCAAAAGTAATTTAAGCGTGAAGCCAACATTTTAAAACATGATAAAAATATAGTATAACTGACTCTAACTTATTGACAAATTTGAAGATCCAAACAGAATTTTTTAGATTATAGTTGCACTTAAACTGTGCCTAAGGTCTTTTTTACAATAATGTAAGGTGGTCCAGGTTAGTATAGTTTTCCATTTACATTATGAAAATATCCATTGATGTACTATTCAAGCCAAGACAGCTCAAGAAAGAATTTGTTATAGATACCTACCGAGTCAAACCTTACTTATGTGTAAGGTCTGATCAAAATTGAGAAGAAATGCTTTGAAATTCTTAGTAAAACCTCTAAAGACAATTTTTATTTTAGTGTAATTGAAATACAGTTTAAAATTACCATCACAGAGTATGCTGTTCAATATCCATTACCTACTATGATTACACTGCACACTTTATCAAGTTGTGTTGTTGTTTTTACATATTGTAAAAATAAATAAAGGAAAACACCAGTAGCCGACAGTGTTCCAGTAGCATGCTGCCAGTTTCAATTTCTTTACCTTATTATGAGGTCACTTAAAAACATTAACACATGATTGCATTGTTAGGAAAACGAATGTTTATTCTTTATTTGTTTACAAACAAATCAGTGTAATTTAGCTCATACTCACAGAATGGCGGGGGTTTGAAATCGACCCTGTTCACAACACATTTTGTCGGTTCCCTTAGTGAAACTGTTTAAAAGAGAGGTTTAGTTTTTGGTAATTCGGCTAGATTTCTTAAGTAGTATTGATTAGGTTCAGTATTTTTAACAAGTATACCTCTATTGACAATTTATGATAAAATTGTGGTGTTTGTGGTTTGGGATTTAAAGTTATATCAATGTCGCAAATATGGCTTTGGTACAAAAACACAATAAGATTCCTAGCTGACAGAGGTGATATTTGCTACATGCACAATATTAAATTTGTTTTACGGTTTTACCCAGAGAAATGTACATGCTATTTATCATTTAGGAGATCTCACCCACATCTTCAAACGTAATTTTAATATAGAAATACTATCCCATAACTAAATTTTTAAATGTATAGGGTGGTATTTAAAGTCTGGCAACACTTTTTATTTTTTTAAACAAAACGTAGAAAAATATCAAAGTTCACAAATCATTACCGGTGACAGGAATCTACATAATGTGTCCAGTTACCGGCCGGATGAGTGCAAGATGACCCCTCTGAGGTGCTTCCCGGAAAAATGCCTAACCAAGTTTAATTTGAATAAAACTAACTGTATTAGTTGGTCCAATGTAACATGTTTGTGCATTTTTGAAGAGGAGAGTACATAAAAGAACATGTTTTAAGCGGTCTTAACTACTACATTAACCTAATGAATAGTTAATGTTTATTCTTCGTGTTGGATTTTACACATTTCAATGTTTTAATTCATAAACCAAAAAATTTTGAAAAATATTTGTTAAAATAGTTTGGATAACAAACATGTAAAATAAATTAATGTTTTAAATAATTTTATAACCATATTATTAGTATTTTACATTATAAAACGCTAGGGTATTGATAACAGAAAAGAAAGCCAGTACAGCTACCTATAGTTGCCATGTCAGGTACTGGGACAACTGACTGTCAGCTATTGGTAGAAGCCATTTTTTCACTGTCAGCCACTGGAACACACACAAGGTTTTAATAAATTTTGAAAACTGAATTAAATACATTTTATAAACCCTTTCCTATGACAAATTTGAAAACTACACAACATTTTGAATCACCTGAAATCAGTAAAATTGATTCAGTTCCTATTTTTTTCAAAACCACAGATTAATAAATACTTTAAAATACTTCAATACTTTTCATTGAAATGGCTGCAAATAGTTTCTTATACTGTCAGCTACTGTTGCGTTTACCTTATAAACCTGTTGGCCCTGATATAAATGTTGCAATTTTACAACAAAGTTAGTGTAAATGCTTATCCTCTATGGGAAATAAATAAGCTAATGCTATTCATTTCAAACTAATAATGTAGTCAAGGTTAAAATATTTGTTCTGTTTGTGGTGTATAATCAGAAGCTTCAATGGAGTTCAGACTGTCTCCACTAGAATGCTCTCCAATTCTCTTACTTACCATTGAAATTGGATACCGGTGTACAGATCAGTTTATATTTAGGGAATTCGGTAAAGTTATCATGTAATATCATGAAATCCTTTCATATTACGATACACAGTTTATTTTCATATTGTTACATTTTTACAGTATTTGGGGT